TTCTTACGGGTAAAAGGGCAACCCTGGCCTGCGTTCGGGCAGGCCTGCCCCTTACGTACATATTTGCACGTTGTCTCGCCCTTAGTCAATCCGCTCTTCATGACATCTGTGGATTTGCCCAATCGAGCTGTTACCTCTGCCGGAGCGGCTTTACCGCTGGCATTTCGGCGATTGTCATCATTGTTGTTCCCACCTCCGCCCAATCGGGCCTGCCGAGCGCGTTGATTCAGAGTACTCTCATGCACATTGATGTTCCATGCTTCCTTATCGCGCAACATCAACGATTCAAGTTCACTCATAAGCCACTCATACGCTTTCACTCCTGTTCCCAATCTATATTTGGACATGTCATAAACTCGACAAACGAATGATAGCTTCTCAGGCTTCCTACACTGCTCAATGAAGTGCGCATGAATCGAGGCTCGCATTTCGTCAGATGGAGGTCGAACCCCATGTAACTGCTGGTAAACCTCTGTCCATTCGTTGTAGAAATGGTACAAGTCAGCATCAGGGTGATTAGGGTCTATAACTACTTTAAATATATCACGCGAGATGCGATGCTGACCCAACTCCGATCGAACAGAGCACCAGTGGCAAATGGCTCGAATCATTTCGCGCCCCCTTAAGAGTCTCTCTTCAGCCTGGGCGCCAAACTCCATTCGACTGGTCTGTTGAAGGAAGTGGATGTGATGATTCGGTAACTTGTGATTCCTTCGCATTTTGCTTGATTTCTCCAACAGATTTGTGGCGATCATGAGGTCAAGACGTTGGAAACGGCCAGCATTTCTTAGCTGTTGGTCATCCACAGCTGGGTTCATAGCTTCCATAATCCAATGCTGTGCTAGCTGAATTTCTGGGGAAGATCCAGCAATGACGCGAACTGCATGCATTTGCCACTCCCGCATGCTTGTAACATCGGGAATGTCCATCAGATCGACCTTTTGGGTGTTTCCAACTTGCCTCCATTGGTCCAGAGGGGTACTCTCATCTAGACCTCCCGGATCATTTGGCCCTCATGGGCCAGGAAGGCCACCGCCACCGCCTCCACCGCCTGGGGGCCCACATCCCCCCGGACTTCCGGGCGGCGGCTTATCTGGCGGGTCGCGAAAAGCATCATTTAGTGCCGATAGAGTGTGATGACTCGACGCGATACTGCTGTCGTCACCACCCTTATCCTTCCCCGTCCCGCCCGGCGGCTGCGCCGCTGGCGCGCGATCCTCATCGCTGTTTAACGGCTGGGCCGTTGACGGTCTCACAGGTCCGCCCCTAGAGAACGGATGAAAGTGAACGTGCTCCTTTCCTTCAATTTCACCTGCGAGCTTCATCCTGATTGGCATGCCACGCTCGGAGGTACTAGGCTTAGCCGGACCTTCGACTGCAGGACCGGGGATAGCATAATGAGGTTTCATGGCAGGTCTTGTGGGCGCATCCTGTGAGAATAGAGGTAACTCAATCGGACTCGATTTTATTATTGTGGCCCGTTCTGTTTCCCCATGTGGGAAGGGCTTGGCGATGACAGCTTAAAGATTCATCATATCTCTTCCTGATGCAGCTGCCGGTGCTAGAATATGCTCCTCCGTTTGCTCCTTCGCCCTCTGCGCGCTGCGTTCTTCATGGGGCTCTTGCTGTAGGGCCCGAAAGTCACTGTCGGCGCTGTGATTTCTCCGCTGCTCTTCCCACTTCTCCTGTTCAGCTGGCAAACTCTTTACCTGAGTGCACTTCGAACATCTTTTCGTATTCGTGCCAAAGTGGTCGTTGCAGCCCCGGCTTTCCACAAGTGGCGCGCCCCCGACTTTCGGGTTCGAACAGACCGAACATTGCACCTCACCAGCCCCTCTCAAGGGTTGCGGCTGAGGCGCAGCCCTCACCTTCAGCACATGCGGCATCGCGCTTCCCATGGTTATCAACTCCAATTGTTCTCGTGAGAACGCTACGCCGGACGGTTGGACCGCGGGCAAAACTCCCCCACTTTCCCCAATCGGCTTAGCTAATGGGCGCGTGACGTCGGTTAGTTGCACTTGCTGAAGGGATGCTCTAGCATTATCATGCAATATGAGGTCTTCTCTTTGTTTCTTTATCAGATCGACTCTTGTCTCAGCTGCAATTTGTGCATTAGATGCTGCCCGCCTGGCAGTTTTGAGTTGCTCTTCAAGCTCCTGCTTCTCTTGTTCTGCCCTGGCTGTAGCGATGTCCCCCCTTCTACTCTAGCCACCGCAACAGCTGCGGATGCGGTCTTGGCATCGACAGATTGATTAATCGCCGTTGCAACGGCCTGTCGTTCGGAAGCCATCATCTCGGCGTAACGGTTCGCGGCTTCTTCCTCCGCTTGCCGCTTAACGACCGCGGTTCGATGGCGCACTTTTTCCCACTAACTCCTGTTCTCGCTCTCTGGCAGCCTTCGCCAGGGCAAGTCTTTCAGCCTCGAACGTCTTCCGAACATCCTCGATGGTTGCGGTCATGTCTTCTCGCTCAAATCGAGCCTTCTCGGCCCTCTGCGCCTCGCGCTGCAGGAACCCCTGCTGAGTCTCAGCTTCAACAAATCTAGCCTGATTCTGCATGGCTTGCATGGGAAGACACGTGCAGTTATGCTCACTCATGGGGCAACAATCTACACACAACCATTGATTGCTACAATTGGGGCACACATCCGAGCAACTCTTACACACTGGACGTCTGCAAGCTCCATCTGGCGCGTGGGCTTTCCCCGGGCATCTGCTCTCCGCCTGTGGCGCGCAGTCGGGGCTCCAGTTCCAGCATGCATCAAGCATGGATATAGTACGGTTGCTCTTTGAAGCAGACCGAGCTCCTGATCTTGGTATCTTAAGGTTTCCCCTACTCGAGGCGTTCGATCCGGGACGTGTGCACGTGCTTTCTGGGGGTTTTGGTGCCCCTCGAAGCTCCTCATCCCTTTCGTCCTGTCTTATTAGCTCAGTATACGAAGCTGGTTGTTCAACCATTTCTTCATCCTCAACAACAGCCGGCATCGAGGGTTGCCAATCGCCTGAGGCGACGGCAGAACGATAGAATCCTTCCCGACGCGGTGAACCGTTCAAATCGTAATCCTCGTTCCTCTATTTCTTGAGTTGAGGTGCAGGAGTCCGTCCTGTGGGCTCTCTATTGGGCTTCGCCTGAGATTGATGTTCGATATCAGCCTGGACCGCCTGAGGCGTCAGGTCGCTTGCTTCGACATCTGAACCATCTGGGGGCCACCGCTCGCCTTGGGCGGGGTGGTCTGCATCAATCATCAAGGACAAGTCTCGGCTCAAAGAAACTCCTTTGTTGGCGTATTCAAAATCTTCTTCCATGGAGTTTATCTCATGTTCTCTGTCTAGTGGTTCGTCACTATCTTGGCCGAACTGTCCGTTCAATGCTATAGGGATGGGAAGAGTTCCACTCGTGCTTCCCCATCCGTCTGGGACGCTGGGGCACACGCCTGTGGACTCGCGAGCTTCTCCCGACCCACTGGCTTCACCAGCGGCCGGCACGATTGTCTGTGTAGCAATCGGGATAGGACTTATCGTCTCCGAAGATTCGGCGATCAAAGACGAGAATGCTCCTCGTCTAGATCTTGCTGCTATGCCATTCCGTCTATGCGGGCCTGGGGTTTGTTCGCGACCACGGATCGGAGCTCTAGAGGGACAATTATCCTCCGACATGTCTCCGCTACTTCTACCCCGTGAGACCCGATGGGCGATACTAGAGGGAGGAAGGCGGCCCCGCTCCGGGCCGCTCTCTTGTAGTTTATGTCCGTCGCGTTGTACAACTTGCCGCCCAGCATTTCGCGAAGTGACGGACATTTCATCTGTCTCATCATAGCTCATACCCGCAGCGATTAAGTCGCGGGGTTCGTAGGAAAACCAGTTTCCTGGCTGATTCAATCCCGTATCGACTATGTCGCGGCTTTCGGCTGATAACCAGTCTTTCCTCTGAGAATCGGGGTAAGATGACAAAGGAATTAAGGTCTCGTGTTCACTCTGCTCAATGGTAAAGGGTACGGGATGCGACATCGATAAGACAAGTAACCGGTAAGCAAATGTACTCTATCAGGAGTAGTAAGTGAGGAGGCCGGCCGGCCGACGACACGACTACGACGAGGGAACGACCCCTCGGCGCGCGCGTGCGAGCCAGCACGTTCCTTTCATCTCCTTCGAGCACACATACAGCTGCATAATGCAGTATACGTTATAGTCAGACAGTGCGCAGCAAGGTATATGATATAACAAGCAGCATGAAGATGAGGCGGAGAGGAGCATATTTACTACCCCTCTTGCCATCGCTCGGACGTCCGTTCCCTGTGCACTGTTTGGTTTCGTGCGTTTTTCGCAGGATGATAAGCCAAGTCCAGGGCAGGGACGGTACGAAGCCCGGAATAGCTGCTTAGCCCAGGCCGCAAGGTAAACGCACCGGAGCAAACAAACGCACCGGACTCTGAAAAACTGCGAAATGGATTGTCGCTGGGTCGAGCCCTTTATGCTGGCTGGAGAAACACATTGCTTTTGTCCCCGCTGCATTCCCCTTCTTCGCCACGATCTTTCTTCGCGGTCAACAAAGGACGACCCGGAGAGACCCACCCAGGAGAGGACAGCCGCCAGGTCAAAGTCTGGCAGGCCCGAGCTGGATCGAGTCGCGAAATCGGAACGGATCGGAAACGCGTCGGATCGCCAACGAATCGTCCAGCATCGAATCGAGATCGAATCGCCGCGCCGGGCTCCACCTGGCCCCGGCCGATGCTGTCGGCGATGCGCAAGGGTGACCCTGGGTAAGAGTGACGTCTAGTGCGCGGACTGAGGGGGCGTAAGGTGGCCTAATCCAAGGGCGCAAGCAGCCACTATCGCATCGCGCTCAGCGGTCGGGGGACCCCCGCAGCAGCCTTCGTACGCACCCGCCCCCCTTCTCCTACCCCTTTCGCCCGACAAGATCCGCAAATGGAATGGGTGGCCAGGCCGCGACTATCGCAGGAAGCAGGAGGAGGCCCCTCCCCGACCCCCCGAGCCCCCTGC